AGCTGGTCTGCTGTTCCAGCTGGTCTGCTGTTCCACAACTAGGACGAAAACCACACTCCTCTTCCTGAATCAGAGATTTGACTATCCGACAGACCCTCCTCTCCAGGACCTGTGAATAGCCAGGGAGACTCAGAAGTGTGATCCTCCTATAGTTGGAACAAACTCTGAAGTCCCCTTTTTAAAATAGGGTGACCGCCACCCTGGTCTGCTAATCCAGGGGAACTGCCCCTGATGTCCACGTGATATTGTAGAGTCGTGTCAACCAACACAACCCCACAACATCCAGAGAGTTAAGGAACTCCAGAAGAATCTCATCCACCCCCAGCGCCTTGCCATCGAGGAGCTTTTTAACCACCTCAGTGACCTCGGCACCAGAGATTGGAGAGTCCGACCCAGGGTCCTCAGGCTCTGCTTCCTCATGGGAAGACGTGTCAGTAGGATTGAGGATGTCCTCAAAATATTCTGCCCACCGACCCACAACATCCCGAGTTTAGGTCAGCAGCGCAACATCCCCACCATAAATAAAGTTGTTGGTGAACCGCTTTCCCCCCCGAGACGCCGGAAGGTGGACCAGAATCGCCTCGGAGCCATACGGAAGTCTTTTTCCATGGCCTCTCCAAACTCCTCCCATGCCCGAGTTTTTGCCTCAGTGACCACCTGATCCGCAATCCGCTTGGTTTCTGAGCACTCCAGCTGTTTTATATATACCTCCATGCAGAGCTGTCAACTGAACCCCACCTGGTGGTGAGGTGGATCCAGTGGTTAAGGGAGGCTGCTGGACAGACCCGGTAGATCTAAACATCTGGTGAGGGTGAACTAGAAACGTCTCAAATTATATCTCAAATTTACTGTATGACAAGTCAAAATTTAATTATTCATATCAGAAATATGTTTCATATAATGAGTAATTTATTGCAAATATCTTGAATTAGAGCCTCCAAACAACTTAATGGTGAATCATTTATACTAGTCAGAATGTAATCAGAGATATCTCACAAATGTATTTTGTTGTGTCAAAATATAGAGATATCTTAACTAATATTTCTGGTCATAAACCAATTTCAGACATCTGGAATTTAAGTGTGGTGAARCTGTATTTATGCAACAATGGCCTGCCGTACCCATCTGTTTACAGCATCTGCTTCACTTTGCTCCACAGCTGCTGACGGGGAGACRGTGATSTATTTGGAAGAGGGATTACACTTTTAGTGCGTTTCTCTTTCATCCAGTGTACATTATAACACACTGACATAACGTACATCGTTTCTTTAAAAGTTGTATCACCATTATTAAAATGTTTTCTACCACAGTTTTATTGTCCAACACTAGGTGTAAACAGTGTGTATCACCTGCAGCTGAAAAGGTGGGCAATAATGTTTTTGTCAGTGTCTGKTAGCAAAATATCTCATTAACCACTYGATGGATTTGACTGAATCTCACAGAAAATCATCACTGTCTTGTACGTCTCCAGCTGATTCACTGTAGTTTACTCATTTCAGAGGGGCTGGCAGAGTTGGACCCCAGTGTCAAACAACAAAATGCTTCCAAAGACATGACATCATGGCTTTTAAAGGCATCATAATATTAGTGTATGCAAAGGTGTGACTCAAGAAATTCACATATCTCCTTTTATTTATTTAACAAATGGAAATAATTTTGTCAATCCTACCTGACCTGATTTAATGACAAACTGAGAAAAATGGATTCAGTCTTTTTATAAAGTGTAAACTTCCTGTTTTAAAATGTTTTTTCTGCAGACATTCAGTCCTGAATCTACAGTTTTCTGTATCTGAATCCAGAACCGACTTTAAACTGAGGGTCAGAGTGTTTCCAACATCAGGAATCTGATTTACAACAAATTAAAATAACTATCTCGTCTATTCCAAGTGTTCTCGATGGGTTTTGCTTTTTTGTGTAAATATAACCATTTGTTGAATTATAATGSACCATTCTTGTAAATTAAAAACCAGTAACTCTTCAAATCTGACTAAAAATAATTAGTATTTAAGATAATAAACAGTGAAAAGTGAGACTCAAAGCAGAAGCAGATTAGTTCATTAGTCCAGTGTTTTCAGTTTTCACTGGACAGTGAGCGAGTCCAGAGGAGATTTACAGGACTCAGTTCCTGATGGGGACGGGACTCCAGAACAAACAGGCGACAGGAGGTAAAGAGCACACCTGCTTCAGGGTGAGCAGTGAGGCTCAGTGGACTTTCCTTTTCCTCTGGCGGTACCGTCTCTGTCTCAGCTTGTAGAGGTGTCTGATGTTAATGAAGAGTCCTGCAGGGGGACAGAGGTGTTAGCTTCGTATGATGTCCACAGATACTTTATTGATCTCAGAGGGAAACTCAAACCATTCAGTATTATATTAAACAATCTGTTAATGAATAAAACCTCATTAATCTCCTTCACAATAAACTAATTATGAAACTAATCATGTCAATAAAAACATTTGAATCAAACAAAAACACTTTATTGATCCCACAGGGAAATTACAGAATTGAATAAATTAAGCAAAAGGTTTTTGTAACAAAACAAACAAACAAAAAAGTTAAATAGGACAGTATTTTATTACAATACAATATTTTACTGTATATTTTTGTGGACTCTAAAGGAAACGTGATTTTTGAAGCTTATATTAAAAGTTATTTTATTAAAAAAAACATTTCTTTACTCAGAGTGAGGAACCTCTGTTTTCAGAATAAACTGAAATATTAACCTTTATTTTTTTTTCTTTTTGTTTTTGTTATTTGAAGACCATTTTTGTTTAAATTATTTTTTTGAGAAAAGGGGCAGATATAAGATTTTTTCTTCTTCTGCTACCTTTCATTTATGATTTGTATTTTTTATTGCATATAGAATTTGTTGTTTTTTTTAAAGAAAAATGAATAAACTACTAAACTATATTTATTTATGAAGGACTTTTTACAGTTTTTGAGTCATTTTAAGGAGCTGACAACTCACTTTACTCTAGGCTCTGTTAGGACAAGGGTTAGCTCATCAGTCCTGTCAAATAAGGCCATGTTCAGTTAAATGCTACTAAAACTTCTACACAGAACACCCAAAATATCCTTTTAGGAACTGAAGCTCACGGTAAGAAAGCCTTGTTGTTCTTGAGACTGTTCCCACATAGCAGAGAGGTGTGGGACAGATCTGGTGTCAGGCTGGCACTACTGGCAATGATKGCACTGTTTGAATGATGGTTTGKTTTATGTGGTGCTGGCCCATGAATGAACCACATCTGGGCCACCAAATGGCCATCGATCTTTGCAGTGTCTGGGCTGAGTGTTAGTGCATTGTGTGGGCCAGAACTGGGCCAATTTGTTACTGATTAATGAATTAATCTACGTTGACTGATCTAATATATCGACTAACAATTCATTGATAAGCAGCCATTTTCTTAAAAACCTGAGTTTTCACATGTAAAATTTATGATTTTTCTCTGATTCTTTACTTTTTGCTGCCTTCTTGTTGGTTCTCTGGCTGAAACAACTGATTTTTTTTAACTCAGAGGAAAGTGGGTCTACCTGGACTCCAGGTGTTCTGTGGCTGGAACTTAAAGACTCTGTTCTCCTGAGCTCAGAACTCATCCTTGGTTCTATTGGCCAGTAAATGAGGTTCTGGAGCAGGAGTCAGACCTCTAAGTGCTGCTTGTTTTTTTTTTTTCTTCATCCTGTAGATTTTTTTGCTGCTTGACAAATAATTTTGGGCCTCGGTCAGGAAAAAGATCGGAGGGTTTTTATATTTTCGACTTGACAGGAGGATGAAACCGTCGGTGGATTGAGGCGTTTCCTGCTCGTGATGTGATTTGCATCAAATATAACTGTCATTTTAAGAAAATAAAATGCGGCGCAAACCATTTATCATAACTCTGGTTCTACTTCGCCTAACAACACAATTTAAAAACTGGTTTAAAGTCTCTACTTTTGACTCAAATTAAAACAGAGTCTCAGAGAAGGCGTACCTTTCCTGTTAGAGTGATTTAAATGGACCATGTGACGTGCCAGCGGACGTAATCAGTTAATCAATTGGAACAAATTTTAATCTAAAACCGTTAAAAGAGGCGGAGTCAGAAGGAATGGAGCTAAGCTGAGTCAGCAGATTTCTCACCCAGAAACATGAGAACCAGGTAGAGCTGCAGGGTGTAGGAGAAGCTCAACGAGTGTCCCAGCACAGCTGGAAGCCAGATGCTGAACAGACGGCTCTGGTCAAAGATGGGGAGGGACTGGATCACAGCCACAGCTGGAACACAAAGCAGAGTCAGACACTGTCACAGCTGCACGTCACCAACCAGCAGCGCACACACCAACCCTCAGCGATGACCCCCAGTGGGTACAGGGGGATCCACAGGTTATATCTGAGCCACGTTAGCATGGGCCAGTCTGTGCCGATGCAGGCCAGCATGTAGAACGGGTATCTGACACAGAAAGACAGGAGCTGATGGTGAAACACGATGAGGAGGGGTTACTCAGCGGGGAGGGGGAGGGGGCTGCAGACCTGAAGATCTCAATGATGCTCCACAGGTAGAAGACGAAGAACACCACGGGTTTGTTCTGCATCTCCTCCAGGCTGCCGAAGACTACGAACAAAATAACGTTCCTACCTGCCACCTAAAAACATCAGAGCAGAGGAACGTCAATAAAATGATAAGAAAAATACTTTTTTTTTATCCAAGACAGCAACATGAAAGGAGACTTTAATTATTCTTGATTTATTCTTAAACTGAAATGCAAATCACTGAGTGCTGTTAGTAGTCACACAAATGATGGTGTTAGCAAAAAAATAAATAAAGGAACAGCAGAGTAACAGTTTTTGAGCTTTAGACTTTGCATGGATGAGAAGCAAAATGTCTTTAAACATCAGAAACTAAAAACACTAAAGAAAAATGCACTGAGCTGGTTCTGACATTTAGTCAGTTCAGTCAGGACAAAGCTACAAACATTTTCACAACACGACCAGAGGAGCACAGAGAAGACCACCATCATGGGGGTGAGGAAATATGGAACACCATCATCAAGAACAGGAAGTTGGATGAAAAGACAAACCAGTCAGTGAGGAGTACAGCAGGACTGAAGGAGCTCTGGACTCTGAAGCCAATTTGACCCCAAAGACAAAACGTCCAGGACCAGCTAAATGTATAAAGGATTTACAATCTCMGGCTTCCCATGTGGGAAAAGGTGTTCTGGTGTTGAACTTGAACAACTCCAAAAACTGTTTGGTGCAGAGACCAGGCTGTGGATCACTAAAGGAACACTATACCCAGAATGAAACACGATGGTGGTAGTATCATGCTGTGGGCTTGCTTTTCTTTAGCTGAAAAGGGAGTTTTAAAACCTTCACCTGCCTGTTTGTTTTAGCCAAAACCTATGAGATCAATCTTGTGCCAGCAGGAATTGAATTTGAATTGCTCAGATTGAATCTGAATGTGCATAATTTGTAATTGAATGCATTGGTTTGACAATGAAGTTTACTAAATTGAAACTGAATTGAAAGTTTTGTATCTGAATTAATTTGCTTTGAAACTGTATTTTGGTCTATTAAAAATTCAGTTTGACTACTTTCAATTTCAGTTCCATAATTCAGATTTTTGTGTCACATCCTGGTCCTTGAGAAAGCCAGCCAGAGTAATCAAACACAGATCCACAGATTTACATTTCACTTCGGTGAAGTTTCCCTTCTGTATGTAACAGAGTTGATGCAATCTACTGTAAAAGTGACAAAAACAGTTGTTTTGCAGTGATTAATTTTACCTATAGAAAATGTTACATTTACATCACATCATGGATCACATATTGATCAGATGCTGCTGACTGATCCATGATGCGATGTAAATGTAACATTTTCTACATATACTGTAGGTACAATTAACCACTGCAATAAAACACCTTTGTCTGTTTTTGTCACTTTTACAGTAGATTGCATCAACTCTGTTACATACAGAAGGGAAACTTCACCGGAGTGAAATGTAAATCTGTGGATCTGTGTTTGATTACTCTGGCTGGCTTTCTCAAGGACCAGGATGTGACACAAAAATATGAATTTTGGAACTGAAAGTGAAAGTAGACCAACTGAATTTTTAATGAACCAAAATACATTTTCAAAGCAAATTAATTCAGATGCAAAACTTTAAATTCAGTTTCAATTTAGTAAAATTCATTTTCAAACCAATGCATTCAATTTCAAATTATGCACATTCAGATTCAATCTGAGCAATTCAAATTCAGTTCCTGCTGGCACAAGATTTATCCCATAAAAACCCTTCAGGTGTCCTATAGAAAGCTTAAATAATTTTTTTTATCTGAAAATAAGCAAACATCCAAACTAACAAAAGGATGACTTTGTAAGGAGGAAATAAGGTTTTGGAACAGACCAGTTAAAGTCCAGACCTTCATACATGAATCTGTGGACTGGAATGAAGAGACGCCCTCACAATCTGACAGTCTGATGAACTCTTTATTAAGAAGACTGGAGGCTGTCATTAAATGTAGAGGTGTTATAATAAAGTTTTTGGTTGACAGTGCACATTTATGCGGCCATCTTATAACACCTTCCAATTGTTTTTCATCTGAACTCTACTGCCCCAGGAGTTTGAAAACCAGGGTAAACACCAGGAACGTCTTGTTTTTTTTATTACCTGTATCAGTGCAGGGAGGAACCCAGTCTTAACCAGACCCAGTAAGGGATTAATGACCTCGAGCACGGCCATCATCTGACAGAAATACATCATGTCAGCTGTGGTGTGGAACGTGTCGTAGAACGAGTCTGTGGAGGCGGAGGAACAAACAGACATGATTAACGGTGACTGTCTGCAGCCGTAAACATTTGCAAAACAAATCCCTGCTGTGTGTGAAGTCGTTGTTTCCATTTGTAAGAGCTCACATTTCAACGGCTCCTCACATACAACACCGCAGAACTGTCATGTTTTACCGTCATCAACCTGACACCAGCTCAACCCCACCCCTCAGCCTCCCTGGTTACGTCTATTCCATAAGTAAGTGCATTTGTTTTATTTCTATTTTTACATTTTCATCTTTGAGTCAAACAATGCTTTACTAAGCAGTTTGATCTTTTGTCTCGTTTCTAAACAAACTGGTACAGCTGCACCGACAGCAGCACATAAAGAATACAGTGTTATTGTTCAGTTAAAACTATTACTTTGTTGTCCTGTGGCAAACTTTGAACCGTGTGTATCTTTGTTTAACAAACCTTCACCAAGAATAAAGAGTCGAACCGTCATGTTGACAAAGATCCAGGAAAATCCCAGGAACTGGACCAGGTTGTACATAAACAAGTAGCCCTTCTTCAGCCCGACGTAGGCTGAGGACACAGGAGGAGAGAGAGGATCAGCTAACGGCAGAGGTTTTTTTAATAATCTAGCAAAGATTAGGAAGAAAAAACAAAGTCAGCTGAGATTTCAGACTCACGATCTTCGCGAAGTCTCGACTCGATGCTGATTTTATTCAGCCTTTCTTCCTCCTGAAAGAACAACAAAGTGGTTCCATGTTTGATTAGTTCAGTTTCTTTAAATGCTGTCAGAAACGCTGTTTTCTGTGGTAGAATAACAGTTAGCGCTCCTTTATTCCCACGTGCTTTGGACGATGGTTTAAGAGCTTGCCTTGGCCTGCAGCTCCATCTCAGCGTCAGACTCGTCCAGCCAGCGGTCGAAGTCGGGAGCCAGAAACAGAGGCTTCTTCTCCTGCAGCGTCAGCCGGTCCCACCAGCGCTCCTCCTGCTTTCTGATCTTAACGTCCACCTGACGCTGAGTGGACTTATGGTAGATCTAAAACCCCAATCGAGGATCTTCACTTATTAAAGCAGCAATAAACTCAGCTTTAAAACGAGCACAAAGCTTAAAAAAATAAACGTTAATTAAACAGCCAACAGAAAAGACTTGAGTAATAATTCAAATGTTACACACACAAGGATAATGTTGACCAGTCCTGGTCCATAAGGACAACTACCCTTCACGTTTTAGAGGTTTCTCTGCTACAACACCTGGTTTGATGGAAACCAGTACAACATGAAGTACGGTGGCCCTTTAGGACCAGGGTAGGACACCCCTGCTCTATCCACTGTGTACATATGACATGTAATAGACAGAAAGACATTATGTACAACGATAAAAGCACTCTGTGGATGACACGGTACTTAAAGAAATAGTGTGAAATGTGTAAGGCGGCACGATATTAGAAAAACTTGCGATGACGCTATCAGGTGTGATACTTGTCTTATTTATTCTTTCCTCCCTTTCTAATCTGTACCTCCTACTCTATATGAACTTTTACATTTTTGGAAAGGTCCTTTGTGTCTGGTGTGAGGTTTTGATGCCGTAAGACTCTGTCCTACTGGCTAAACATTGCATTAGCATGGAAAATACAACTTCTAAACTCCTGAAATACATTAGTCAACAACTATTGCACTCCAAGCAGTCCTTTGTGGTATAAATATTGAGCACACTTATATTGCGATGACGATATATTTGCAATATATTGTGCAGCCCTAGAAATGGGGAATAAATAATAACAGAAACTCTTGGATTTTGTCCTTTTATAAATTAAACCATCGACAGTATGAGACGTCATCATGTCTGTTGACTCAGTCCTTCTGAAAGTAGTTCATGCTGACTTTAAAAACTCAGAAGAAGGCTTTACTTTAGGGCTGCACAATATATTGCAAATTTATAATCATCGCGATAACAGCCTGTGCAATATATCGTAAAAATATGCATAAACTGCAATAAATGGTCAGCCCAAAAGTTTGCATTTATGAGTTTTGTCACTCAGATGAAAACGAAGTATTTCACCAATCAAACAGAGCCCTTTACGTATTTGTTCATTTATTGCAAGTCATATCGTCATCGCAATATTAAGCACTGTTATCTCCAAGTTTTTCCTAATATCGTGCAGCCCTAATCTAAATTACTTTTATATTTTCTATCAATCTGAACCTCAGCAGAGCGTAGTAATAAAAGCCAAAGAGTTTCTGTGACAGGCATCAGTTTGTGTGCAGTGAATACTCTGGAACAAGACGTTCCTTCTCAGTGTGTGAAGCATCACCAGACATGTGTACAAGAAAAACTAAACATTTCCCTTCAGTCAGTTCAAATACAAAAATAAAATAAAATWAAAAAAAGGCAAAATGCTGGCTCAACAGATTTTCTTATGGTTTATTACCATTTTATTACCATTGTGTTCTTGTACATATTTATTCCAATGTACTTTTGAATGCTGAAAAACTGTGTAAACTAGCCACAATAAACCTGTAAATCAGCAGAATGTAACAAATAAYTTTTATTACTGAATCTAATACAAAAATGAAAATGTAGGTGACAACCGTTTTAATTATACAGAAGAAAAAAAAAAAGATTGATACCTCGGGTCTAACAGGTTCCAGGAACTCCAAAGTGAACTTGTACTCATTGTCCCCTTTAGCTCCATGACCCTGCGCTGTGGAGGAACATGAGTTACACAAACTCTCTGTCTGTCAGGGAAAACTAACACACAGGTTTGTATTTATACAGCAGGTAAAATAAGTATTGAACACGTCAACATTTTTCTCAGTAAATATATTACTAGAGGTAATAATGACATGAAATTTTTACCAGATGTCGGTAACAACCCAAGTGATCCATACATACAAAGAAATCAAACCATAAATGTCTAGAAATGAAGTTATTTGTAATAATGTGGAATGGCACAGGGAAAAAGTATTGAACACATGACGTGGAAAAGATTTACCAAGGATGCAGAAACATGAAGAAATTTATAGTTAGTACTGATTAAATACAACACAGAGTTAGGGTTTTCTAC